CGAACTAGTGTTAGGATGGATTCGTCGAGAGATGGCGCCTCTCGTCGATATTTTTAGTCCTGGAAAATAAGAGAAATAACGATGAGACGGTCCAAACACCGGTGTTTGTTTTTCGGCTGGGAGAAATGAAAATTAATGTTCGAATAATTGGAATAAGACGATAGATGAAAGTGGGTAAGAGAAGTATCTGTCGGATACACGAAATGGTAACTAGTCGAGACAGGACTGATGCTTCGAACCGTGAACGAGCGGGATATAGGTTCCGTCTCCATCCGTCTATAAGCGAATGTATCGAGCACGGTCGGATGAATACGGGTCGTTTGATAAATTTTATGGAACTAAAGAAAAACACAAATACTTTTGCTCAACTACTCCATAGGTGCATTTACCGGGTCCCTATCGTTCGACGTCGATACTTGTTTCTGACAGGTAGCCCGCAGTTATTCAGTCAGCCGATACAAGAACAGGTTATTCGAACGTGCACATTCCCTCTACTCCTTCCCCTCCCTCTCGATATACCACTAACGTGTACAACGCAAGCTTATGTAACTTTGATATAGTTAAAAGGGAATGAAGTTGCAACCGGATCTACGTACGTACACGCTTCGTATACGCTATTTCCTTGATCCGTTCTTGATAATATTTCAAGGAATAGATTAATGTTTTTCGTCGCAAATCTAGAAATGTTTCTCGTTATCGCATTTATCTTTTTGTCTTAGATTATTCCATATTCTATGCCAATGGTTCTCCATCTTTCCATATACGCGTATCGAAAATAAAATTCAGCTTTATTCATATTTACGTTCAGAAATTTTTAATGATTTTTATACAATGTTTCGTATAAGGTATATTTATTTTATTTATCACCGAATTAAATCGAACATATATCATTTTTTTGTCGAATAAAATTTTGAATATGCATATACTATTTCCGAGAATATTTAATCATAAATATAATTTCTACGTTTTTAATAATTATTATTTCAGATTTTATAAGAATAATTAATTCTTATAGATCCAAAAAAATAGATTCTATATTTTGTCAAAGACAAAGAAAGCACGAGTTGATTATATAATAAAGAAATAAATTGATTGCCAAAATTAATAGATATCGAAAATATTCATTTAAACGTGACAAATGTTACGTGTGCGATTTATCGTCGAGGAGAATCGAATGGCGGAACAAATAGGTTGCCGGAAGTTGGAAAGTTCTGGAAAGCGGTTCGATCACCTTCAATTGTTGGGGAGAAAGGGAGATAGAGGATACCAAAAGCAGACGCATTCCAAGAACGGAAGAACTGTATAATGTTTCTTTGCTCCATTTAGAGGAATTCCTGGGTTGTTGGAGGGACCGATGGTATTTGACTCGCAAAACATCTCTTTGTTCTTCGAGGATACCCTTCCCTGACTGATACGAGACGCGCGAAAAGGCACACGATAGAGTGCCGCTTTTGTATTCGCGGTGCACTTCCGTAACGCGTTTCCTCTATCAACACGGTCTACCATATGACCTCGATCGAACGGACCTCTGACGAGAATACTTCGCAAAAAGCGACGTATTTCATCCTTTGCCAGCATTATTAAACCATTAGGATTCAATATTAAATAATTGAGCGGTGCAATTGTTAACCATGTTTCAATTATGTTATTATAAATAAGTGAGTATATTGAATGGGAGAATAAATTATATTAAATCATATTACGAGTAATATAAATTTGAAAGGATTATTTTTTTATTTAGATTGTGCGCAAGTTTTTATGCTTTATTTCTTGTACTGAGAGGAAACACTGGATTCTTTGTTTGTTTTAATTCAAAAAAAAAAGAATAATGAACTTAATACTCAAGTTTCTTTATTTATCTTGAATCAAGAATGAATGTGTACTAGATAATGAAGTGGAAAAATAATATAAAAATTTATTTTTTGAAATTATGATATATATGGAATATATCTGTCAGCTCAGTTAATTTAAGAAATTAAATAAATGACAATAATTTTTTGAAAAAAACTTTATAATATGAATGTAAATGTTTAAAAAATTGTGCGTCGCGTTAAAGTGACACCTTGTGTTAATACAGTCATATATTGTGATTAACTGATGGTACGGATCATATAAGAGAAAAAATATACTCTACATAAAGTACAAAATAAAAGAAGAGAAGACAAAAGACCGATGGAGAAAAATCCCGTGGATCGTATTTCCATCGAAACATTTTTATTTCATCAGATACACATTTTCCAAAATATATCCTTGGCTATACCTAATAAATCCAAATTAACACGTTGTAAAATATGATACGAATAATGTAATAATTATAACGAGACAATGTATAGAATGTGATATATTTCATCAATATTTTTCTATCTTTTTTTTTAAATTCCTTTTTTATACAAGATAAAGAAAATTTAAGGAATCAACACATAAGAATTTTATCATCATGGAATAACTTCAATATTCACGAAGAACATTGTATTAAAAAAAATAAAAAAATCGCAATTCATTGATTGAACGATTACATATACGATAAAAGATAAAATAAATTATAAAGAGAATTACAAAAGATCGTTTGCAGAAGATACTCTCCAACTTTATAAAACAATTGATGGTAATTATTTTTCGTAGATACCGAGACGTAGATAGCGAGCTTTAATGCGAAAGACGAAGAAACTTGGTCGTCATTGTTCATCGTGGTGTAAAGCCGCGTGCCACAACACGAGGACGAAACTTAATTCTTGTCATCGTTCGGGAGCGACATTTCTGTTGGTGACATCCTAAGGGTAGTGTCGAGCAACGTTGTTCAGGCATTCTTTAACAGGTTTTGAATCTTTCTCGGAAACTTTTCAGTTAGCTCTGTCGGAAAAGGACTCTCCCGAAGTTCGTCAAGCTGGAACGAGGGCATTACCGGTAATAATTTGAGTTAGTAGCAGTGAAATCTTGTTACTTTGCTTTTCCACCACTGTGAATCCTGAGAAGAAACTACGATACGGTATGTTCCAGCTCGCCTCCAACTTTTCTACGTTCAACTTTGAATATAATTAAAAAAAAAAAAAAAAAAAAAAAAGAAAGAAAAAAAACGCAAAACTGTTCCTTGGGAAAGAAATTGTTATTCGAGATTAGCTTCGTTTAAAGTCGAGCGTTTATCTCTCTATGTATAAATTTTAACGGTTTAACGGTTAAGGAAATTCTGTTTCGAGAATAGCGATGAAACAAACGCGTGAACTACTGAAATATAAACGTTCTCTGTCCTTACAATCCTCTTACGAAAATAAAGATTTTAATAGAAATGTATAGATCGTCTTACACGTGTACAGACCGTGTAAATTTAATTCCCCGTGAGCAAACGTATTTCTCGGCATTTTTCGCGACCAACATGAATTTTTCGCGTCCATGTTTATTCTTTTTTTATTCTCGAAAAAAAAATCCACGAAAATGTATCTACTAATGTAACCGTCTCGTTAAGATTTATCGACAAGGATAAAAATTCTTTTAAATTGAAACCTGAATCTTCGAGTTTCGAGCATAACCTTTATTCATAATCGAGAGATACTCAAAACATTTATATTTTAAACTTTCCGAAGTCGGATTCTCTATATACCCGTATTTAACGCGCAATGAACGTGTATAAATTGTATAAATCAAGCTTAAACGATTAAACGATAAAATATATATGTATCTTCGGCGCGGTAACACGATCGGAGGAACGATTACAGTTTTCTCCAGCATGCTCGCGGCATCGGTGCCTCCTTATCGCCATTGCGTTTAATGCATAAAGCGTAAAGTTGGTATCTCATGCATACATTCATAGATGGCGGTGGAGAGACGTAGCCGAAAGTCATAACTTACCGCGCGCACCATCCTTCGTCTCCTTCTTCCCCCCCCCTCTCTCCGTGCCAAGTATCGAAATAGAAGCCGCGAAATCACCGAACGGTGACTGAGGCACGTATGACGGGCAACCGTGGCTTTTGATACGCCGTTGAAGCGAGCACGAATCGCTCAAAATTCCATTTCCCCAAGAGAATTCATTCGCTCCCTTGGCTTCATTGAAAAATAGCCCACTTACCACGCTTCGCGGCCTCTTGTTACCATAAATCAATCGCGTCTTTCCGTTCTCTTTCTCTCTCTCTCTCTCTTTCTTTTTCTCTCTCTCCACCTTCCATTTCCACTTTACGATTTTTCTTTCTTCCTTTTTCTCTTCTTCTTCTTGCTCTTTTATCCGCTTTTATGCGGCCAACTACTATTTCGATCCGGTTTCGTATCGGGAGTTATCAACGTTGCTTTCGAGTATCTCGAGATGTAACGCACGTATTATAGAATTAGTTATAGGAAAGTTGATGAAAAAGTGATTTTTTTCAATTTTAAGTAAGGAGGATAGAGAAAGTCTATAATCTGAAACTCAATCATATGAATCGAAGAGCTCGAATAAAAAATTTTTACGAGTCGTAAAACTTCGTCGAATCTAAAAAAAAAATTCATTTTCCAAAATCGAAACCGGCTAAAAAACCGATCAAATTTATCATTCTTATTTATTATTATTATTATATATTATATAATAATATATAATAATATATATTATATATAATAATATATATTATATATTATTATTATTCCGGTTCGAATTACGAAAGGGAAAAAAAAAACTGTCAAAATGACCATCGATCCTCCTTTCCAACACCTCTTTCCGCAAAAAAATGAATTAAGGATATAATGGACTGATTCGAATTAATCATTGAAAATTAGGGGTACAATAGACTGATTAAGATTTGGCATTGAATAATGGGTCAGCCCTCGAGAGCATTCAAAAGTAACATCGGTCGACGATCCATTACTCTGGTTGTTCGATTATTCGCTTTATTCCTTAAAGAGATTCGATCGGATTGCTTATACACGAAGCTGCAACTTTCCGAACATTTTTTCCTCGGATTAATCCGTCGCACGATCCGTCAATTAAATTTAAAATTCTTTCATCTAAAAAATAGTGTATTCCCCATTTCTGATTTCAGATCGTCGAGTAACGTGCCAAACTGTCGTCGCAAAAGTGATTGATTCTCATGGCAGCACGGAAACTTGCAGCCCTCTTCACCGCAGTTCTGCATCTTTGCTTATGTGAGTGAGTTTTATCCTTTCGTTTAAAATAATCTACCATTATTTTTTTTTTCTTTTACCAATGCCCTTGCATTCGATGTTGTCATCCTTTTGCCCTATTTTGTACATATTTTCTATGCAGATTATCATACAATTTTTTAAATACTCGAAGCATTATAGAATATCGAAATTCATAAATTTTGAAGACCGAGACGATTCCTCTCAAAACGTATTAATTAATTGAGAAATAAAAGTAAATGAAAATATATAATCAAATAGGTAAAGTATTTTTTTTTTTTTTTGCTATCTGAGTATAGCTTAGAATTTGATGATAACTGAGGTAAAATTTCAAGAACGAGAAATATTCACTTAATTGAAAATAAGAAATTTTTTCCCCCTCGAGGATATATTATCATTGGGTTAAACTATAAAGTGAAACGATCCACCTCATTATCGTTCTATTTATATAAAAATCATGGAATGGAAGTAGGTAATTTTATGAAAAAAACTGGGGGGAGAGGGGGAGAGGGGGAGAGGAGAGAAATCTTTTAGACGAGGATATACCACGTTGCGGTAGAATGGCGTCGCAACAACCTTACAAGGGCAATACATCGTCGTAGTCGCACGTGGGGGAGTTTGTAAAATCCACTTAAATCCGGCGTGATTTAGTTGGGCACGCGGCCTCTGAGCTGAATAGCGACGTAGCCTTTTCCAGTAAGTAACAGAACCTCGGGCTTTTTAGACTGATAGGAACGGTTAAAAAGCCATTCACCGCACCGAACCACCGCTACTTACTTATACCACCACCACACTGATAAATATATATCCCGCGACACCTATGTTCGGCTATGACCCTCGTTGTCCTCGTAAACTTATTTTTCTATATCGCGAGAAACTGCATTTTAAGGATTTATCCGGTAAGCTTTTAACGGAATGTAATTACGCGAGACACTCTCGTGGCGCCCTCCTTTGTTCAAAATGGAGGAGCTGCGTTCAAGATTGCAAGATCGACGAGAGATAATTTTTATCGAAATGCGAACGTCTTGGTCAAACATTTTATATTATCTTGAAAGTTATTACACTGGTAGGAGAAGTTTATACGAGTCTGTGGTAAAATAAGCGATTGCTTGATATTACAATTTTTTTTACTAAAATTCATCGGATACATTGTAATGTAAAATATTATGAGAGACGGTTATCAGCGTAATTACGTTAAAAAGTTTAAATGAATTTTTTTTCAGGTCAAATAACTCCAGAACCATTGCCAGAATTTTTAGCTCCTTTGGAGAATCACACGGTGATCCAGGGCCGTGACATCTTCTTCACTTGTGTCGTGAATAATCTGCATTCGTACAAGGTAGTTTGCGCTTGCTTCTTCGGGGAAAGAGAAAAAAGATCGAACGTGATCGCCTTGTTAATAAAGAGCTTTCGATATCATATATGACACGAAAAAAATTTTGCATTAACATCGAATATAATCGAAAATACAGATGCGTCACACTATATATAAAAAAGAAATTTATCGTAAATTATTATTATTCATTAAAAAAGAAGAATAAAAATTTTTTACCACAGTTTGTTGTATATCTTTCTTAGGTGGCTTGGATGAAGTCAGATTCTCGAGCAATTTTGGCAATACATACACATTTAATAGCACATAATCCAAGACTCTCGGTTACGCATAATGGACATAACACGTGGAAATTGCACGTATCGAATGTTCAAAAGAATGATTCCGGTGCTTATATGTGTCAAATCAACACAGAACCTATGCGAAGTCAGGTGAGTGAAATTTAAAAAAATTGTATACATGTATGATATTAAAAACGATATTTGCCATTTTTGTATCGTGGCCCTCTTGTAAGATTATCATTTGATTAATTTTTCTTCTCATATTTTTTAAAGGAGGAAATAAAAAGAATTTCTATATTTTATCGTTGTGGAGTAATTAATGAAAATGACAACAACGATTCCTTTGAGAATCGTGACAGAGAAATTTGCTATAGTAGTAATAATAATTTTAACTTGAAAATTTGAATTATTCTATTTCTAGAACGGATACGTGGAAGTGGTGATACCACCGGATATAATAGACGATAAATCTGCCGAAGGTATGGTAACTCACGAAGGTGGTGAAATAAAGTTAAAATGCGTTGCAACCGGTTCACCGGAACCTACCGTCACATGGAAACGAGAAGATGGACGGAATATCATTCTTCGAGAAGATGGACAAAAGCAATGTAAGATGTTTAGATGTTTCGGTTAATTTTTAATAATAACGTTATAAACAGATACGATATAAATTATTAACGAAATATTTACAAATAGCAGTGTAAAAGTTCATGATATTAATGCGACTATCACTATATTATTTTACGTATATAAGTAGATATATTTCACTTTTAAATGACAATTTTAATTTTATCTTTCAGTGTTAAAAACTTACGTAGGTGAAACTTTAGAATTAACTGGAGTTCTTCGACAAGAAATGGGCACGTATCTTTGCATAGCCAGCAACAATGTACCTCCAACAGTCAGCAAACGTTACTCTGTACAAGTTCATTGTACGTATTTATCATAGAATTATTGAATAAATTTTAATTAGAAAATCACGAGTAAGAGCAATAAATAGGGAACAAAATTTTTAGCAATTTACAAATTTAATTATTTATTTAACGTTATTATATTTATACAATTAATATAAATGTTCATTATAGATCAGAAAAATAGTAGATCTACAATCTAGAGAGTGATATAAGTCTGTTATAATATTAAACAAGTAATAGACTTACAATCTAATAGTATAGTAGGCCTAGAATCTAGAGAGTAATATAAGTCTGTTATAGTATTAAACAAGTAGTATAAGTCCATTATTGTTAGACAAGTAGTACAGAACTATCATGATCAGGGTAGTAGTATAGATACGTTATGATCAGACGTCGTCGAGTATTACGTATCTTATTCTTTTTATAATACAATACAATATAGGATTGTTTTTATTACAGTTTCACCTGTTATAAAAGTAACGAATCAATTAGTAGCAGCTCCAGTCAATAGCGATGTTGTTCTTCAATGCCACGTTGAAGCTTCCCCACAAGCATTGAATACTTGGCATCAAAATACAGGTAAATAAATGTTTATTGATGTCTTTGCAACTTTTGTTTATAATTTGTTATAAATATTCGAATTTATTAATCGAGTTTTAAATTTTTAACTAATTAGGTATTAGTAAATCAATATATAATAAGTGAATCAATTTTATTTCAAATATATGTGATATAAGAGTGTATAAATTTAAGTTAATATTCGATGCTCACTTACTATTTTGATGCACTGATAATAAGAAGGTAAGAGCGGTTACGAAATGCCGAATAGAATTTGTATTGAGCTCGCGAATTCTATAGGGTTAACTATTGATCCGAAAGGGAACTTTAACCCGATTTCATTAGACAGCAACTGACTCTTAAGGAACATGAGGCGAAGTAACACTGCTATTTTGTCCAATCGGGCGTCTAAAATCGATTATGTATAATATATAACAATATGAACAAGCAAAAATGAATGAGAGACGCATTGAAAATTGCAAGAAATATGTTTAATTATTTTAGTAGAACCATTATTATGAAAAATATTGTAATATTCTTATTTTTGAAAACAGGTGAAAAACTACTGCCCAGTGAAAAATATACAATGTCAGAATATGCATTGAACGAGTATTCTTGGCAAATGAACCTTACCGTTAACTCTTTAGAGAAAAAAGATTTTGGAGAGTATGTTTGCTCATCCGTAAATGCTCTTGGAAAAGCTGATGGCATTGTTCGTTTACAAGGTAAGTATTTAAGAATTCCAGTGATGTTTCATTGCGTTTTCTTGCATTTATTTACTAATAGCACAAGTGTTTCTTCGTATACATTCCTATTTAATATTTGATTTGATTTGATCAAATTTAAATTAAAATTCCAATAATATTAACTTCATGATCGCTTATTCATAAAATTATAAGTTTAAATCGAAATAAATTAAGTATAAAATGAAATTTAAAAATTTCTAAAAATTTGATACTATTTCAAATGATATGAATTAATTATAAATTTAATTATAAAAGAACACAATATAATATATAATTAACAATAACTTTTCGATGTAAAATATCATTATAACATGGGTAATTAATTCTTCTTTCGATTTAGAATTACATCTTGTTGCAAAAACAACTCCTGGCCCTTTCATAAAAATGACCGATCTGAAACCTCGAAAGAAACTTATATCGAAAGGGAAAAAAAAGAGTAGTAATAACAACGGCAGGAAGATACATATAGGTTTCGAAGATTTTGATTCTCATGGACACGATGAAGATCTTAGTACTACGCAAATTATGGCTGGTAGTACACTTCAAGAAGGCCATAGAACAGAAAGGCCATTGGTATCGCCATCGCTACCTCCACCATGGTTAAATATTAACACTGCCAATTCGAGGCATTGTTTGGAACAGATCACGCTATTTTTATTAATCTTAAGTATGATATTTATATTTTAAAATATATGTTATTGAGAGAAAAAAAATATAACAACGAAATAAATATTGACAAAGAATTAAAACGATTCGGGAATAAGATAGGAAATAATAATTATATTTGATTAATTTCTATATATAACTAGAAGAATTTTTTTATATATAAAATAAGAAATGTGTCGTTACTTTTTACAACTGTGATAAAGAGGAACAATTTAATAATTTATTTATATATATTTATTTATGATTATTCGAGACAAATTTAGAATTTGTTTATATAATTTAAGAATCTCTTATAGTTATCATTATAATTTTATTATTTTGATTAAATCCTTAATAATTCTTTTTCGTAAATCATTATATTAAGAACGATATAATATAATAATACAAAGAGCAAGGTTTAACATATCTCAATAAGTTAAACTTGTAAGCTTTAAAATGTTCCCGATCGTTTAAGAAAAGTCATTGATTAAATGATAGTAATTAATTGCTTTATAAAAGTGATTAATCACCAACGTTTACAATAAAATTAAAGTTTAGAAAGGACAGTCAATGAAGATTTAATTCTTATGGAGACAAAAAAAAATATAGGTCTTCCCTTCATTCGACGAAACAAAGATGAATATATATATATACATATATATATACATATTTATATATATATTTAGATTTAATGAGATATGCGGCGCGACCAACATAAGAAGGTTTCTCTTAATGATGTAAATATTTACATAAATAGTCTATGAATTTAAATTGACATACTAAGTATTAGATTCCAATTACGACGAAAAACATTACATAAATTTTAGATAAATTGTAATTTAAGAAAGTCTTCATATCAAAGTAAATTTTGTCGATCTATTATGGATTCTAAACATTTAAAATATATATAAAATAATCAAATAGATATATATAATTATACTTATGTTCAAAAAAATCTTTGTCTTTTTTTTTATCTTTTTTTTTATAAAAAATCAACTCTTCTGTGATCATACATAATTTTATTCCATATATATGATAAACTTGTACTTTATATCTTACTAATATTTTATTTATACTTATTTATATTACTTTATTACGTATACATTTTATTCTGTATATCATATATAGGAGCTAAACGTAAAAATTGCAATTAAAATCTCGACTCTATATGAAGACTTTTTAAAAATATTCTTACTACGTAATAAATTTTTATATTTTTATTAAATAAAAACGTGAAATATATATAGTCTATTATAATAATTTATGATGATTTATGTAACATATAAATTTCGTTACGATAAAATGCAATATAGAATACTTATTTTTGGAGTATTTTGTTAAATAAAAAATTATAATGGTTTCGCGACGCGACTAGTACATATCTCAAATTTTATGTCTAATCAAAGAGATGCAAAAATAGTTGTTAGAAAATTATATCATAATTTTTAATTTCAATATATATCTTCTATTTAAAAAAATTCTAACTTTTAATCAAAGTTAAAAATCAAATTAATTTAATATTTGCAAGAATGATTTTTTTTATGATTTTCAAACGATAAACATTAACATTATAAATCAATATTCATATCTTTATATTTTAACGTATTTAATTAAATCTCTTGATATTATTTTTGCATCTCTTATGCTTTTATCTACATTTCAATTTATATAAATCTTGTGCTTTATATAAATATTGTTACTGAAATGCAAATACAAATTTAATATATCTTAGTAAGTAATAATAATAATAATAATATTAATAATAATAATAATAATAATAATAATAATAATAATAATAATAATAATAATAAATCATTAAGTTAGATAGATGTTACTGTATTTTGTACAGTGGTAGTCAAAAGAATTGGTATTAAAATTTTACTTGTGTATATAATTTGATCTTATCAATAATATTTTTTATATATTTTCATCAGTAATATTAATTAAGATAAATGTTTCTAAATTTTTTAGAAATATTATAAATGTGCACTATGCAACTAATTTTGTAAAAAAATTATATAAAATTTTTTAAAACATAATTAAAACAAATTTATTAAAAATTATTTTTGTATATTAAAAAGAATATCTTTAATTTATAATATGAAAACAGTAAATTTAAATATAAAATATATTTTTTAACAGAAAAATAATTCTAAAATGATTAAAGATCTTAAATTTTTTCTTTCTTTCTTTTTCTTTTCTTTTAACAAAAAATCAAAAATATTAATATTAAATTTCTTTAATATCTTACTTTATTGTGGTAATTTCATAAACCATAATAAATTATTTGAATGATACATATATATAATAAAAATCAATATAAAGGGATTTATAACTTAGTTGCATAATGTACAATATATGAATTCTGTATTATGTATTAAAATATCTCTTCTGATCAAAATATATATCACAAATCTGCATCTTCCATACATTTTGTATAGTATTTTCTTACAAAATATTCTTCACTTAATAGCAAAACAAATAATTCTTTCTATTGGAATTATAATAATATATCTATTACAGTATGTTTTTAAATTTTTATATTTTAATTACAATATATATATCACTTTATATATATTTCATATTCGTAAATATATAATTTAAAGTTAATATTACAATTGATATATCTATTTCAAAATATTAATAAATTATATTATATTTAATTATTATATTTAAAAAAAAAATTTTTGTTATTATATTAAATTGTAATATATTAAGTTTGCAATTATTAAATAGTATAATCATAATTATTTATATATATTATATTTATTTTATATTTATTATTTATTTATTATAAATAAATAATTTATTATATATTTATATATATATAATTATTTCTATTTTTAAAATAATTTTAAAATTATTGTGATTTATTTATTCAATTGTTTACTTTATGAAATAAAATGAGATATTAAAATATATTATAAAAAATATTATAAGAAAGAATTAAGTGTTATATTTAAAGCTAACTTTTATATGTTGTACATAATTAATTATAAATTCATTTTAATCATTCAATAAAAGAATCCTTTAGTTAAAAAAATTACAATATACTAATATATGAAATAAAATACATGACAATAAATATGGTATAATGAAACTGAACCTTAAAAACCTTCTGAGAACATAATATATATTCATAAATAATAACATATTATACTTTAAAAAATACCATATATAAATATTATTGTAATCTTTAATTTTTATGTATGATAATTTTTCATAATTTAATATGTAATCATTTAATTTTTTAGTATCAACTTTCTTTTTAAATCTAGTAAAACATGGTATTAATATAAATAATATAATTTATAATATAGTTTATAAGTTTAAAAATAAATTGACAAAATAAAAAAATTTAATAATTTATTTAATCTATTTAATAATAATTTATAAATAATTTATATCAATAATGTAAATCAAATATTCATTATCCTCATTTATATAAAAACTAAATTCTCTGAGGGTTTTAAAGGATAACATAAATTATTTAATATATTTCCTATATAAATATGTATATGAACAGTAAGGAAATATGCATAAAATATCCTTTTATTATAATGTTATCATATAAATATGATGAATTTATTGGCGATAAATATAATATACATGTACACGGTAATATATAAATCATAGGACCATGTTTTGTGTATGTATATATAGCTATAAAAACACATATAACAATATGTAACATGATATGTAAATAAGATAGAAACAAATATGGCATTGTTGATGAAACTTTAAACTAGAAAAAAAATTATTAGCATATAAATATAATATATAATATAATAATATTAAATGAGACCTCGTTTTATATAAAATATCATTTTATATAAAACGTTTTATATAAGATATCAAAGGTCTCAGAATGTAATATATTAAAATAAAAAGAATGTTTAGTCATTTGTTAGATATGTATTCTATACATAATATATACAGGAATCTCTCGTTACGTCAAAAAGAGTGCCACCAAATAATACCGTGTCGGTATATATAATTTGGCTATCATTCTTCAAAAAACCGATGTCGAGACAATTGTTGTATTTATATATGTGAAACAAAAAAATTTAATATATAATATATAATATATAATATATAAATCGACAGATTATCTTTAGATAATATAGTAAGAGAAACACCCTGTAATGTTACAAAGTTAAGTTGATGTGGTCATTCATTGCATTTCTCACAACGAAAATTTAAAATTACCTTTAATAATTAAGTTTTACAATCTGATTGACCTTGTTTTGTTACACTGATTTTTTTTATAAAATTAATAATTTAATCAATTAATTTTTAAAATTTAAGTTTTTGATACTTTTAATTATTTTTGGTCAATTAAATTCGTTGTATGAATTATTATAATCAATATCAATATTTTAAATTAAAAAGATACAAAATCAATATTGTAAATTAAAAAGAAGTTAAATATGCAGAAAATCTTTTTTTTTTTTAAATTCATTCATACGTATTTTGACAAAAATGACCATTTATAATTATTGACTGAAAATTATTTAATCATTTTGTAAATCTCATCATGTAAATCTATAATAAATTAGCATAAATATTTATTTTATATATAAATACATATTTTATATCTTTGTATTATGTATCAATTCATAAAAAGAAACAAACTATTGTGCTTAAATATTTAATTTTAATTCTAATTTATACCAATTATACATATTAATAATTTGTTAGACATACTAGTATAATAATTTTACAAATATTTAAATATAAATTATATGTTTTATTAAAAATTATAAAATGAGCTTTAATAATTTTAAATATTCTATAAAAATGCAATTAAATCTAAAAATCATATTTAATCTGTAAACATATATAACTGAAAATAATTATTGTATGCTATGACTTTTTCCATATAACAGGAGGCAGATATAAGTACAAGACAAACAGATTATAATTTTACTATATTATTATTAAATTCATAATTGAATACAATTTGTAAAGAGACTTTGTTGTCTCTCTTTCATTCTCTTTTTGTATATCTTATAATTTTAGTTTATTAGTTGGGTAATTTCTACTGTATATAAAATGTAATCAACAGTCTGAAATTATG